ACACACACACACACACACACACACACACACACACCACGTACACAGAAAAAAAAAGAAGAGACAAAGCCACATGCCAGGAGGGTAAATGTGGCAAAAGGGCCTCGAGAAGTGGAAAGCCGCGAGAGGAGGGGAAATGCAAACACAGGGAGGTTCTTAGGGGTATCTGTAAAAATTGGAACAAAACAGCGAAGAGAAGATTAGCATGGCCCCTCCGAAAGCATGACGATCATAAAGCAAGAAAAGGTAGAAATTTCAAAAAATTAAAGAAGCACCAAACAAGAGAGATAGAACAAGGAAACTTCCTTGCAGACACCCATTAGAAATACTGGGACGATACAGAGAGAAAGAGAAGAGATTAGAATCGCATGGCCCCCTGCGCAAGGACTTCCACACGAAGTAACGAACAAATCGAGAAATTTTGGCAGCCTAATCCTTCCGTGTTCTAGCGGAAGACATCATTCTCATTCTGCGCATTTGGTGCACGGCGTCTGTTCTGTGCGTGTCGCATAAAAAATGCGGAAGACGGAGTGTTCGTTGGAAGTGCGAACGCTTTGCAAGAAAGACAAACAGTAAGGTCAATTGCAAGATATATAAAATGATTCGTCCTACAAAAAAAAAAAAAATGCAGACAGTGAAGAAGGAATACCGTCTTCACCCGAATAGAATGCCCGGTTAACGGGGCTATTCGGGTGAAGCTGGTAGTGAAAAACTGGTTGGAAATGATTAACAGGGGAAAAAAAAGAAAAAGTCAAAAGATCAGTACAAAATGGACAAAAGACGGAGCGTTCGTTGGAATCTACGCACCCGCTCGGACAGATTATGAACCTCTGCCGCCCGGCTTCTCTTCGTGGCTGTGGTGGGCTTGTCCTTGGTGACAGTGCTGGTGGTCGTGGTTGTGGTCGCGGTGGTTGTAGTAGCAGTGCCCATGCCTGCAGCCGTAGGCGTGGCCATGCCATTGCCCATCGTCGCTGGCTTTTTCGCATCGCCACACGAGTCGTCCTCACCTTCCTGCCAACCACCACATATCACAAACTGTCTGTTAGCCGGGCTAGAGCATTTGATCCCCTTCTCTCTCTCTCTCACTCACACACACACACACACACACACACACACACACACGTTAGGAGATATAACTCTCTCTCTCTCTCTCTCTCTCTCTCTCTCTCTCAGAGTAGACAAAAAATTGTCGGTTAGCATGTTAGGAGATAGCTCTCTCTCTCTCTCTCTCTCTCAGAGTAGACATAAAAAATTGTCGGGTTAGCACATTAGGAGATATAACTCTCTCTCTCTCTCTCTCTCACTCTCAGAGTAGACAAAAAATTGTCGGTTAGCACATTAGGAGATATAACTCTCTCTCTCTCTCTCTCTCGCTCTCTCACACACACACACACACACCTCTTAAATGCTAAAGATCTTCTTTAGAGAACAGAGGGAAAGAAAAAGACCCAACCAGAACTGATCGATGTGACTGAAACTTTTTCATTTTTTCCATGTGGTTTAATTTGAGAAATTCATACAACTTACACAGAGGTCTAACGTGAAGCAAAAGAGAGGTCAAATTTGTTTTTCTGCCTTTTTCAACAAATGCTCTTTTTTTTTTGCCTTCTTTTCTGAACAAAAGTGTTTCTCAGATGGCATGAAAGAGGCAGAGTTCACTTGCAAAAGAGAGAGCCAGAGTTCGTTTGAGAGCCTCCTCATACCTCGGTTCCAGTCACAAGACCGTCGTCTTCTCGTGGTCTTTTCCTAAGAAGAGCGGTCAGACAAGGCTCGTTCTGTGCTGCAGAGGTCGCTCTCTCGCAGCTGTTTCCCGATGCACCCGACGAGGATGTCACAGTTGCCTCTGCGCTATCTACCGCCGGCTGCGTGGACATATTACAGTCCGCCTTCACAAGCGGAGGGTACAGACTCGCACCCGAGCTCTGGATCGAGTCCGTGATCGCGGTGTTCGTAACACAGGTACTCGTGGTCGCCGCTGAAACTGGTGGCGGCGGCAGTACGGAGATGCCCTTGCCGATCGATGTCTGTATCGACGGCGAAGTTTGAATGGATGTGGAAGTTGTTTGAACCGACGGCGAGGCAGTCGGACCTGGCCGCGAAGTTTGGATGCAAGACAAACCCGAGTGCTCCATGGCCGACGGAGAACGCGTTTGTGAGCGGGGTGAGGTGTTGCGCAGACCCGTCATCGGATGCGATGTTGTCGCAGCCGCCACCTGCACTTGTCCACCAGGGTTCCGTACAGCATCTCCCCCTCCCCCTCCTCCTACACAAGTGCTACCCCGCAGACCCTTCAGCCTATCAACCCCGACGCCCATCAGTAGCCGCGGACCGGTCTTTACACTCAACGAGGCACCACCATTTGCAGCGACCCGCGTGCTGGGTGCTGGAACGCCGCTGGCGGCCCCAAGCGCACCCCCTGCCCCTTCGTTGCCGCCCCCCACTACACAGTGTCCAGGAAGGGTCACGCCATGGATCATCCCGCGTTGCCCGCTGCTGGCCCTTTCACTCACACACGACGTTGGCGTCATTGCCGACACCGTGCCAGCTGTCCCGCTGACCGTCGAGCAACCCCCCTGCGCCTTAGTCCCACTTCCCAGGCCATCCACTTGCCCGCTTGTGCGTAGCCGTGTGTTCGTCCCGATGCCACAGCTCTGGATGCCCATAATTTGGCTGCGGGTCTTGTCGCACAGGCCCGGCCGCAGAAAGTTGAGGAAGTTGCCACCATGGGGGCGGGCGTTCGCCATCGTCCCTCCTCCTACCCCTCCTGCAGCTCCGCCGTTCTCCTGCGAAGCAGCCAGTTGACTGGTCGACCCTGACATGGTGCCATGTCCCGGGGCCGTCAAGTCGCCACGCAGAGGAGGGACCAGGGCGGTCGACGTCGTCCGCACCTTCCCGAACGCGTCCGTCCCATTCTGCAACGGAGGAATGATGCCGGCGGCTCGGCTGGCTGCGAGGGCCAATGCGGCCGCTGCGCTCACCTGCCTGCTGCTCATCGGATTATTCACAGAATGCAGAGACATCATGTGTGCGGTGCGCTGCTGAAGAAGCCGGGCCGTCGTCCCGCTGACTGTGCTGTCCTTGAGGATCTGGACATTCGATTGCGGCGGCATGTTCCCAAAGTACGTTGGACAAAACGCATCCTCTAGCTCCTCCGCCCCTGGCCCCGAGTTGTTCAGCCAGTTCTGCAGGTCATCGTCGATCCGCACGCAGTTCCTTCCTGTCGGCCCCTCCGTTACCGTCCCCGTCGTCGTTGCGGTTGTCGTCGGTACCGCCGTCGTCGTCACCGTCGTCCCATTGATCACACTCTCTAGTCCTCCGTCCCGCTTCAACGTCGGCGCCACCGCATCCGCAAGCGGCTGCCCCGCGCTACTGCAATCCTGATCCTTAATCTGCCATCCCTTCTGCATACCCTTCCCAACATCCGCGAGCTCGCCGAAGCTTCCCGCATCCGGCCATACAAAGTTATCTAACTCATCCGGTCTGCAAAACCAACCGTATCACGACAGTCATGGGCATGCTGTCTTATCAGTTTCTTCAGCTTTCAAATTATGCATTTCTTCTACACATATTACTATATTTCTTAATTATTATTGGATTAATTTGGATAATAATAAATATAATCATATAGTAATACTTGTAATTATAATCCGAGAATTACGTTTAATAATTAGAAACACACAGGCAGATTGTGGTGGTTCGACCTCTTATTGAGTCAGCCAACGTTCAACGAAGAGTCTGGCACAGCCATTCTTTCTTGGTGGAGTTGTGTATAGGCAACATGACAACACACACACACACACACACACACACACACACACACACACACACACACACACACTACACATACACACACGCAATACACACACAAACACACAACAACAACAACAACACATACACACTCACACACACACACACACACACACACATGCAGACTACACATACACACACACACAGCAACAACAACAACACACATACACACACTCACACACTCACACACACGCACACACACACACACACCCCAACACACATACACACACCCCAACACACCAACACACACACACACACACACACATACACACCACAC